GCAGACCAGGAAGTGATTTAAAGATGAAAATGTACCAGTGAGAGAGTTGTACTTAATGTACTCTTGCTGTAACCTACTGTTTCGTGCAGAAGTTTGGAAGAAGTTTACATACATTCAAACTTCAATGCTCTGTCATTCCTCACAGCAATGTCTGTCCCAAATACATACAGTGACAAACCTCACATGAACAGGAAAAATGTGTGGTTCCAACTGTGGGGAATCAGTGGGTTATCACCATTACTCTTACCCTGATATCATCTTTCTTTTGTCAAAGTCAAAGTTTCTTTATTTGTCTTTTGCCCCACATGTGGGGTGGAACAAAATTGTGTACACAGGGTCCCAGGGATTCGTGAGTCTAACAGCTTCAGGGTAGAAGCTGTTCCTCAGTCTAGTGGTTCTGCACTTAATGATCCCAAACATCTTGCCTGAGGGGAGCGGGGCAAAAAGTGTGTGTGCTGGGTGAGTGTGGTCCTTCATGATGCAGGTGGCCCTCTTCCTGCATCTGGAGGTGTAGATGTCTGTGATGGTGGGGAGGCTGACTCCAACATCTTCTGTGCAGCCTTCAACACTCTCTGCAAAGCTTTTCTTTCTGCAGCTGTGCAGCCTCCATGCCACACGTTGATGCTGGAGCACAGGATGCTCTCCACTGCACACCTGTAGAAGGAGGTGAGGACTGAGCTTCCAGACCAGCTCGCCTCAGCCGTCTGAGGAAGTAGAGTCTCTGATGAGCTTTCTTCATCAGGCTGGTGGTGTTGTTGCTCCAGCTGAGGTTGTTGTTCAGGTGTACACCCAAGTACTTGTAGCTGGAGACCACTTCCACCGCAGATCCTCTTATGTTCAGGGGGGTGTAGATGTTTTTGTTCCTTCTGAAGTCCACAATCATCTCCTTTGTCTTCTTCACATTGATGTGAAGGTTATTCTTTTTGCACCAACCATTGTAGATGTGTCTTTATGTTTTGGATCATTGTCTTGTTGGAAGATAAATCTCCGTCCCAGTCTCAGGTCTCTTGCAGACTCAAACCGGTTTTCTTCCAGAATGGTCCTGTATTTGGCCCCATCCATCTTCTCATCAATTCTGACCATCTTTCCTGTCCCTGCTGATGAAAAGCAGGCCCAAACCATGATGCTGCCACCACCATGTTTGACGGTGGGGATGGTGTGTTCAGGGTGATGAGCTGTGCTGTTTTTACTCCAAACATATCGTTTTGCATTGTGGCCAAACAGTTGGATTTTGGTTTCATGTGACCAGAGCACCTTCTTCCACATGTTTGGTGTCTCCCAGGTGCTTGTGACAAACTTTAAACAACACTTTTTATGGATATCTTTGAGAAATGGCTTTCTTCTTGCCACTCTTCCATGAAGGCCAGATTTGTGCAGTGTACAACTGATTGTTGTCCTATGGACAGACTCTCCCACCTCAGCTGTAGATCTCTGCAGTTCATCCAGAGTGATCATGGGCCTCTTGGCTGCATCTCTGATCAGTCTTCTCCTTGTTCCAGATGAAAGTTTAGAGGGACGGCCAGGTCTTGGTAGATTTGCAGTGGTCTCATACTCCTTCCATTTCAATCTGATTGCTTGCACAGTGCTCCTTGGGATGTTTAAAGCTTGGGAAATCTTTTTGTATCCAAATCCGGCTTTAAACTTCTCCACAACAGTATCTCGGACCTGCCTGGTGTGTTCCTTGGTCTTCATGATGCTCTCTGCGCTTTGAACAGAACCCTGAGACGATCACAGAGCAGGTGCATTTATACGGAGACTTGATTACACACAGGTGGATTTTATTGATCATCATCAGTCATTTGGGACAACATTGGATCATTCATAGATCCTCACTGAACTTCTGGACTGAGTTTGCTGCACTGAAAGTAAAGGGGCCCGATAATATTGCACGCCCCACTTTTCAGTTTTTTATTTGTTAAAAAAGTTTGACACATCCAATAAATTTCATTCCACTTCACGATTGTGTCCCACTTGTTGTTGATTCTTCACAAAAAAATATAATTTTATATCTTTATTTATGAAGCATGAAATGTGGCAAAAGGTTGAAAAGTTCAAGGGGGCCGAATACCTTCGCAAGGCACTGTACTTGAAAAAAAAAGCCAAACTTTGCATCAAATTTGATATTCTATGCAAAAAAAAAAAAAAACATGTTTTGTGTCTCCAGGTGTGTGGCACAACTTTGTTCTGTGCGTGGCGGCACTGGCCATCCTCTTCCTGCTGCCGGTCTTTCTGTTTCCCATGTACACCACTGGAGTCGGAGCGCTGGTTACCGAGGTCGTTCAGGTCAGTGCTGCAAGTTTCTCTGTGGAAGAACAGTTGTTCACAACTTAACCAAATGTTGACCTTGTAGTCCCTCATTTATCACAGGGTTTAAGGGCCATGCCATCCAAGATAAGTGGAAAAAAATGCAAAGTAGGGGTAGAAGTACAAAGTACTTATTGTCCTACTACAAACTAGTAGCTTATTTTAGTATTTATATATGTATATATGAAGGTGTTTTAAAACCTTCCCACATTTGCAATATTCTAAGCAATGTTTCTAAACTCAAAACGCTCTAAAAGAGCACAGCATGTCATGATCTCCGCTCTCTGCCACGCTGCAATCACACTCAGCTTTAGGTTTTGTTTTTTTGTCATATGTAAAATCAACACAAGGTCAGCAATACAATGGAATGCTGAGGATATGAAGAACCGTCTAGACTCGCCAAAAAAACCCAACAGCAAATATCAAAGCATACAACAAAAATACAGAAACAAGGAGTCAAAAGTGAAAAAGAAATAAGTCTACAGCAGCATGGTCCTATTGGCAGAGTGGTTCTAACAGTGAGTTTATCTTAGCAACATGGTCCAGTTAGCAGCATGGTGCTGTTAGCAGTGAGGTTTGGTTAGCTGCGTGGTCTTGTTAGCAGCGTTACCAGGTCTTGTTAGCAGGTCCCGTCAGCAGCTTGATGGTAATAATGACCGCTGCAGCTGCCCTTCCAGACTGCCCTCTAGAACCAGTT